AACCCTAAACCCTAAACCCCAGCTCCAAAGTGTCCCCGAGCTCCGGAGAGTGCCGCAGCGAACTCGAAGGCGAGGTTGCTCCCATGTTGTCAGTTCTTCAAAGTACCTTTGGGGGCCTTAATAGTTTTTTATAGGGTTTCGGGCTCCTTTATAGTATAATTCTAATAAGGAGCGATAAGGAATAGTCTAGGCAACTATTTAGGCTTCTTCAAAGTACCTCTCCCAACCCTAAAACCCAAAAACCCACAAACCCCAAGCAGCCATAAGGCAAGCTCTCCCAAACCTTACCAGGAAGCGCACCCTAATTTCTTACAGGGAAGTGCGCCCTCAACCCTAAACCCATTATCCAGGAACTCCTTACTAGGAATCCCCACCCTCAACCTGTGATCCTAGTCCTCAACCCTAAACCGCCCTACTAACTGCAGTGTCCAGAAACTCCTTCCTAGGAATCCTCATCCTAAGGCTCCTTCCCTTCATAGAAGAGCTTTAGAACGACCGCTTGAGCCCTCCGGGGTCTCTGCCGGCTCAATTTCAGGGTGTAGGGCTTAGTGTTTCAGCTTAGGGTGTAGGGTCTAGGGTTTAGGGTTTAAGGTTTAGGGTTTGAGCTTAGGGTCTAGGGTTTACGGTTTAGGGTTTAAGGTTTAGGGCTTAGGGTTAGGGTTTAAGGGCTACAATGACAGAACTACCATGAACACGACAAGCTAGAATCAATAACCCTGGGGCGAGAAGAAACGAACTGAACCGCAAGCATGTGCCAGGTGCCTTGGGAAGCCACAGCGGGCGACAGGACCTGCGATTTAACAACTTTCTTAGGAGTTAGCCTTTGCGTCTAGCTTTCTTTAAAGCCGGGGTAGGGCCGTGCTAGTTCGGTAGGCGGCTGAGGTGCTTAGGGAAACGTTTGACGGCACATTTCAATACAATCACCACGTCAACTGCTCGGATCCCAACAGTACCCCGACTCTCTGGATGGGCCCTCGTGAGAAGAGCCACCCTGACCTGGACCTAAAAAGCCCTAAACTCCTAAATCCCAAGACCCAAAACCCACAAACAACACTTACTATAGGAGCCGTAATCATTAGAATAGGGTTTTGGGGTATTTTAAGCTAGAACCATCATAAGGACCCCCCAAAATAGCATTGGTAATTCTTTAGGCCCCTTTTTTTACGGAACTTAAAGCCTTCATGCCAAAACCCTTTGACCCGAAGCACATTTTAGAGGTTCAGGGGTTTAGGGTTTTGAGTTTTGGCGTTTAGGGTTTTGGTGTTTAGGGCTTTGGGTTTAGAGCCCTGAAGCCCCTTCCCGAACATGCTCTCCGCCTTGAGGATCAGCTGCAGCCCATCGTGCTCGCCTATGGAGCTACTTACGGAGTATCCTAAACTACCAAAACCTACATTCGGATTTATAATAAGGCCCTGCACAAAAGCAGGGTTATGGTAGCTCAAGGTAGTATGGGTGCTGTCGATCCTACAGAAACTGCACAGGGACCGGAAGCGAAGGGAATGTTACCACTATTTGTTCAAGGGTTTGGGTTTAGTGTTTAGGGCCTAGCGGCCCCTGCATTATTGAAAAGGGTTCAGGGCGCTCTTTTGAGGTTGAGGGTCTCGGAGTAGGGTAGGTTTCGGAGTTTGCCCGGCAGTTTGGAGGTTGAGGTTGAGGTGGCCGGATTTTGCTTCACGTAATTAGTTCGGGTTTTTCGGTTTGCTCCAGGTTCTTGATGTGTCAGACAGAGGATCATAGAGGATCCTAAAGCTCTGATCCATCCCCGGGACCGCAGAATGCGAATTCCAACACATAATGGTAGGAGTAATCAGTTATGATGCTCCATAGAGTCTGTACGCACAAAACGCCGCATAGTTCATCGTGGCTTTGTGGGCCGTACAGGAAACAAACACCGTGACCCGTAGCACCGGAAGGCCATGAAATTCCAGGACCCCACGGTGACTCTGGGTGCAACACTCAAGGTCAATGGTGTGCAAGGCCACATCAGCGTGAGCTGAGTAAGGATGAATCAACGGCACTCCTCATATGACCGTCGTGAATGTCTTTCTCATCATGCAAGGCCAGCAGCACAGCTCAACAACCCCTCACAACAACAATCGTGGAGTGTATAAAGCCAACATCACTCACAACAAGCCAGCCACATCTTCAGCGGCTATCTCATGCGAAGACACCAGCTNNAGCTCACAAGAAGCTCACTGGAACAAGAGCATGCCCCAGCCAGTAGCTTTGGAGCTTTCGATGGGCTTTGCCTAATCTAGGCCTTACCAATTAGAGCAGGGTTTTGGGGCAATTATGCAATATGTTTTAATGTTAAAAAAGGAATCCCCAAAATAGTAGTGGGAATCATGTAGGCCCCTATAGTACACCAGATCGGTTCTCGGAGTCACGCGTGCTCTCTGTGCCCAAACCCCTCAGCACAAGTGCGCCGAATGTCCACCGAACTTCCTCAACTGCTCATAGTTCGTAGGCGTACCTTAACCCCAAAGAACCTACCTTTTTAAGGACTTATGTAAAGAAATCATAATAAGGAGCCCTAAAAAGGGAGGTTCTTTTAGGGTCCAGGTAAACCCAACCCTAAAACCCTAAACCCTAAACCCTAATAGCTGATCATGAACCAAGGAGCTAATGCTCCAGGACTCCTTCACGCTTTCGGCGCCCGTCTGACTTAACCTCGCGGGGTAATATTAGGGTTTAGGGTTTAGGGTTTAGGGTAATATAGGAAACTACAGGTGGGAAGTTTAGGGTAGAAAGGGCTTCTATAAGGCTTCCATAAGGTAGATAGTCCTTCTTTAAGGCTCCTATAAAGGGAACAACCCACCTGAAAATGTCCTAAATCGTGGGGGCATCCCAGAGGGTAGGGACACCAGACCGACGGTTGCGTTTCAGCTTTCAGGTTTCGAAGGCAATGCATGACTCCTCTTCAACCCTACCCCCCCTACACTTAATTCCCAAACCCTGAACGCAAACCCATCAAAAAGCAAAACAATGAAGCAACTTTTTATCGACTCCACCCTCAATCCCCGCGCAAAACCGTCTGCAGAGGGAACATGAAACCCATGCAATCTTTATAACACCCAAGCGGCCCGGAACAAATTGCAGGTGTCGGGTTTGACGGTGTAAACTTGTAACCTCTACTACCGAGCTACAAAGACAAGGGTAGCTTTCAAAATTAGGGTCCCTTTTAGCGTCCTTTTTATAAGGGTGCCGTACAAAATTGGGAATCCAAAAATAAGGGACCCTAATTTAGAGAACTACCCACAAACGCATCCGAACCCTTTGGAATCGGAAGCGATCGAACCCTGAGCAGCAAAGCGCGCAAGCCCGAACTCACTCACTCTCTCACTCGCATAATTAGAAGATCCCGCGCGGTCCACACCCGGAAGCCCATGTAAATCCTGAACCCGGAACCCAAAACTCTAAACCCCTAAACCTCTGAACCTGAACCCAAAACCCCAAAATCCCTAAACCCCTGAGCTAAAGCCTAAATCCCAAAAGCTCTCTGGTCGTGGGTTCGAAAATTTTTGGAAGACAGAAGGCTACATACACAGGGGCCCACAAAAAGTATACCCTTAGTGTTGAAGGTTGGGTTTAGGGCTTATAAGGGATTAGGGTTTACAAGTTAGGTTTACGGCTGCTGGGGTTTGCGGCTTCGTCCAGGGTTGAGGACTTAGGGTTTAATTCCTTCTAGGGTTCCTCTAAGTTCCGGTACTTTAGGTACGCTAAGGGTACAGTAAGACCATTGGAGGGTTTTGGGCTTTAGGGGTCCAGGGCTCAAGAATATGGGCCCTCTATCCTGCCTGGCGAAGATGATCGTAAATTGCCCAAGGGCTCTGTCCTTTGGAGTATAGAGTTTAGGGTTCAGGGTTTCAGGGTTTAAGGTTTAGGGTTTTGGGCTATGGGGAGGTTAGAAGAGACTCGACACGAGCGCCCGACTCCTTCTCAATAGCCTTCGCAGCATCGACAACCTGGCTTTATGTCTCCCTCTCTCTCTCTCTCAGGGTTCAGGGTTCAGGGTTTAGGGTTTAGGGTTTAGGGTTTAGGGTTTAGGGTTTAGGGTTTGCCTGAGGTTCCCTAGAAAACACTTGA